CCTTTCTTTTTGGGAGTCGGTTAAAATAGGCTATGTTTGGGTCTAACGTAACATCTGGTTAATGTTTGGGTGTAAAGTGACTTCTGGTTAGTAAAGGCGTTCTTATTAATAATCTCTTGATGTTGTAAATAAAAAAGTTTTTATTCTATACTCTAAAACTTAGCCTTAGTCAATAAACCAAGCAATTAAAATAAAATAGTTGCGTTAAAATGGCGTCGACGAATCGCGATTAACTGATCACTCCGTATTAGTTTTAAATAGGCACCCATTGTTAATATAATGTTAACACTTAGATAAGTAGGTATCTATATATAAACATTTGAGTTTTACACAGAGCGTTGCGATTAAACGTTTTAAACACAAATAGAAAATAAATATTTTTAAAAGAAAATTGTGATTTTTTCCCCACATCTATCTTCATTTGTATTATGAGAGCTTAGGTAAGTATTTTTTTAGTTTTACGTACTTATAATGAATTAAATGTATAAATTTATATGTGAAATGTAATACCATCACTTCTTTTATGTTTATCATCACCGTTGTGACAATATTTTACAACACAAACGGAAATTTTTACAATTCTTCTCGAGCTCTTCTCCGTAAGACGTGACGTCGCGCACTGACGCGTCGCTGAGTCAACTAACGCGGTAACGCGGTTTCGCGTTAGTTTTACTTGCTTCACTTTCGGTGCGCGAACTAGTATTCTATGCGTAATAATTCTATGCCTAGCAAGCTAACAGCATAGCAAAGTGGCGAAGCAATCAGCTTTGTAGCGGTTTCTAACGGTTGCTGTTGAGCAATCAGTTTCAAAATAGGAGGTTCAGGTGCCTAGGTGATCAGTAATCAATTGCTGAAAACAGAATTTGAAAATTCGAAACCGTTCTCGAGATAATCGTGGGACAGACGGACAGACGGACAGGCATCGTGAAATCAATAAGTGACTTCGCAAGCTTCGCCACTTAATAATTAGCTTTCTTGAATATAACTGCACCATCGTTAAAAATGCATAAAATGCAATCATAAACACAAAAACTTGATAAAACCAAATTTGTTAAGTGTAGAATGCACCCAATCGACATTTAACAAATTTTAGTAAATTTTTGAGCTTTTAGTTTCCCAATTGATTAGGAAATTAAAAGAAAATGGGTTTAAGCAACTCATAAGAAGAATTGGGAGCCTACTTAATACTCTCCACTTTGCTTCAGGCACTTTGAAAGACATATATCAGTCCGAAAAATGACAAGAACTGAATTGTTTCGCAATGCTGTCCCAATAGTTTATACCAGAGTAATTGTGTTCTGTGGTTTATACAATAAAGGTTTGTATGTTTTAATATGGTCGTATTATAAATTTTCTGTTTTTATGTAGTAGATACTTGCTTTTGTCCAAAATTTAACCTTTTCGCTATCCCGTGCACTACATATAGGTCATCGGTATTGTCTTACTATTGTGTTTGAAGATCGTAAATGAATGTTTAAACTAAAGTGTGTAAGTCACATCACATTATATGATGGAGTATGATAGGATAAAAGGGAATTTAAAAGACATAATTGCTTTTACCCGGAATATATAGAAGAAAAAAGAAAAATGTAACATTTTTCTAGGAGGATGTTGCAAACTTAGAAGGACCTGAGCACGATGATTTAGTGATGGAACACCTAAATACGGTGCACCTTTAATTTTCATTGCCTTGCTAACCAAACACTACTAATAGTGATAAGAATTAATATAAAAGTTACAGTACGCATGTAATGACTGTTATGTTTTTATTGAATGCTGAGTAATATTGAGAATATGTCATATTTTTCCAAGAGGACGTTAAAATTACTAAAAATGAGCATCAAATTAATGATGGTGTTATGGAACTACCACGCACATTTGCGGTAGATTTTAAGTTTTAAAAAAACTGTGTTGTGCCAGTTACGAGAACTGGTAGTACCTAACTGTCATACAAGTGGGCTAAGAGATTAAACACTAAAATCAGAGACTGAACAGTAGCGTATGTTACCTTTACCTACAAATTTGTATACGTAAAAGAAGCTGAACTGCTCACCGACTGATTAGCTGACATTACGCACAGCATTATTTGTCGTTGTTTTGGAGAGCCATTGGTTTCCTTGTTTAAATTTTGTATTTTGCTTTGCTGAATATGGTATAAGGTGACATGTAACATTTTGAACACAATTGAAAATCTATTGCTTGAGGTCAATATATAAATTGACGGCTCCGTGGTTTAGAAATCAGTTGTTGCGCTGGGGGTCGCGGGTTCGAACCCCGCACGGAACAAGTATTTTTATGGCCTACAAATAATTGTTCCGGGTCTGGATGTTTGTCCTTGTGCAATTTGTTTGTAAACTGCCTCCACGACACAGGAGAAAATCCTAGTGTGGGGTAACGTTTTTAAAAGAAAAAAAAAATAACGGCCGCTAATAGGTTTAATGGAATAAAACATTTTACCTTTTTGTTTCAGCTACTGGGTGCGCCAAGAAGTCTTACCAAGACATTGATACAGCAGCAACATCGGTCGGGGAATAGGTTGAGAATGGTGAGCGCTCTTCGTCAGACAACAAGGCGTCTAAAAATAAAAGTAGCAAATCTGGAACCAATTCTTGAAGAGTTGAAGGCCAAAGCTCTTGTTAACGAATAGGATAGCAATCTACTTAACTCAATCGATCCCGTCAATAAAGATTTAACAAATAGATGTGTTTTAATATTTGTTATTATTTGTTTCATTTGCTTTAGTTATCCTATCCTAATAACATGTGAATAAAATGGCCTAGAATTACTGCCGTACGCTTCACAAACAAAATCTCTCTATTTTGTGGGTAACATTACCAAAATGGCAGCATTGTGATGCTTAAATGAAAGGAATGGAATAGCAGTTACGCGCATAGACTTAGAATATAATGGCGTAGTATATTCTATGGTTACGCGACCCCGCCGTCTATTGGATACTCTGTCTACGCTGACTGACGCTAAAGCAGACTGACACATATCCACAGTCTATGAATGGCATAGACTACTGGTGTATTTTGTGGTGTATGAAGTGGTATGGTGTGTATAGAGTACTTTTTATAAACCGGAAGAGTACCTATTTAATCAAGGTGTATCTGTAAGGAAACAATGATTTTAGTTACGCCGTATCTGTTATTGGCGCTTTCTTGAAAATGCCTTTCCTATGTGGAATTCAAAAGCGCATATGATATATTGTAATGTGCAATGCATATTATAAAATTTTACTTGTAAAATAAAACTTCAAAATCCAATAAATGGTATTTATTTCTAATAAAGTAATACTCTTTAGGAGATTATCTAAAGTACGTAGAGCCCAGCTACTCCACCAGCCTACTTAACACTTCACCCGCAGTAGCGCTGGAGGTTTCTTTCTAGATCCAAAAACTGTAAATAGTACTGCAACAAATCATCAGTTCACTAACACCACATATTAGATCTCAGAATCAACACGATTTACTTCCATCAATTATAATATATTAAAAATGAATATCTAGAAGAAACATGGGCGCAACTTTTTTAAATAAAAACATTTAGAATGTGTCATGTTTAATATAACAATCATGGCCTTTATTAGAAATAAAGTTTGTAATACAAAAAAAATTATATCCTTTAAAAATATATTATATCTCAGGTATGCCCGTTTCATTTGAACTAGTCAAACAACTTTTCCTTTTTCTGTTATTTTTGTATGCCAAAGAAAACATTCGGCATCACTCCATCTCCACTCATAATTAGTGCTTTTAAATAATTTTTCCTATTCATTTGAACTTACGTGTACGGTGATTCCGGTGAGCCGGTGAGATAGTTTCTTGGCAGTTTTAAAAGTCTTTTCGATATAGTACATAATAGTAGCAAGTGTGACTCATACTTAGATTCTGGAGTCAGAACTTATGATAGTTCTAGTTCTGATGCTTACCTACTTCCTAATTATATCCAGATTACAAGCTAAAACTCAATTTTTCTTAAAAACTTTCCACATGGAATATTAACATTTGTTTGTTTGCAACAATAAAGAAAAATGTTTCGTTTATATAACCATAGTAAAATATCATAACAATACAGTAAATTATATATTTGTGCATTATATTTATAATTCATATCTCTAAAGTAAGTAATCATGAGTCAACATACATATACAATAAATAATTTGGCGAGGGACGAAACTAAGTGTCGAGAATGCATCAGCATCCCATACCAAACGGTACAGAAATATATCCATGATATCACAGTCAATCATAGCTAAATTTTAAAGCAAATTGATGTAGTGATGATAACAAAATGTGGAATTTAATTATTTAAGGATAATAGTAATTAAAAAGTACAATATACTTATATCTATTTATTCTATAGCTAGGCATAATCTAAATTGCATACATACAATTGATAACATGCAGAAGGACAGGCGGTTCAACCGCATTCAAATTCAACATTATCATTATTATTAATAGGCTTAGCTTCGTAAGACAAGATACAAGTAAACTTGGATGCATTATTGAATTCCTCACACTTGAATATTTTTTGTATCATACGATTAAAATAATTTGTCATGTTACATCCAATTCACAAATGAACTATTAGGCTTTCCAAAATAATTACACTATCTTTTCTAAACACCACAAAAATTTTATTCAAATTTGTATCGTGCACGACGTTGTTCCATATTTCTTCGATATTCCTACTTTCGAGTCGGGAGATATATATATATACCTTTAGATTGACACGCACATTGTGCTTCACCCAGCTTCACATTGACGTTTCACTGAGCCTTTACCGCGACACGCAAATTGAGTGGGCAGTGGGCACTAATGCGGCAAGTAGAGGGAGCCGTGCTGCGAGAGCGGTCCAGGAGGAGCGGGCGGCGGCATGAAGCCGCGCGACGCGTGCCCAGCGTTGGGCTCGTGGCCAGCGTGGCCAGCGTGGCCGGCGTGGCCAGCGGGGCCAGCGTGGGCTGAGTGGGCTGCGTAGTTTGCTTGGGGGGCGTGGTGTCATTCAAGACGGGCTCTCTTGGCGGGCGGCTCCCCCTCTCCGCTCCAGTAGGCGTACTCCGGCAGCCACTTCAGCAACTGCGCGTCGAAGAACTCCTCTAGCCTCTTTGCGTCCTTGTATATTTGGGAATCCGGCTGCAAAATTAAAACATTGTATCAAAATGATTTGCAATGACTTTTTATTTTCTCAAAGGCAGCATTAAGCATTAGATAAATAAAACAGAGATGAGATTAATATTACAAACATTGCCCAAGAGAATTTCATAAGCTCAAAATCACTCAAGGACCAATACAATAGAATAGAATAATTTTTATTCAATATAGATTACTTATTAAGTCATTTAAGGTTTACCATTAATTATCTATTGGTTACTTAAAAACCTGTCCTGGGAACAGCCAGAAAGAAACCCAGCGCGACTTTAAAAAATACATACTTGTATATTTATCGTCTTGCTATAACTCGAAAAAATGGCTCGATTGATTTTGATGAATTTTTTTGTGTTTGAGTGGGTTCCTGAATGGTTTAGATTCACAATTGGACTCGACAGGTGGCGCTGTTGTCGAGATGCAGAAATCATCCGTGTGAAGCCGGGGCCGATTGCTATTATTTTATACAATAGAAAGCGCTATGCTCGATATTACTCTGGTAGATTAGATTTGTAATGTAAGAATCTGTTGGAGAAGTAACATCATCGGCATAGTCTGCTTGGCAAATATTCAATCTATGAGGTAATATATGGAACTTTTAATACATTGAAAAATGATGACTGTTTCTTTTTAAAGAATATGAGTGGCAAAAAAGGAGATAGTCCACCTGATGGTAAGTGGATGCTTGCTCCATAGGCTTCAATATCTATCGTCAATTGGGAATCAATATGCAGATGGCTTGTTCCTGAGGATTAAGATGGAAATTTTTAATAAAAAAAATATCCTAGTAAAAAGGGTCCATAGAAAACCCAGCTGCATTAAGCTGCTTCTTTACGCTGGAATTCTGTGAGAGCATGGTCCTTCACCAGTAAAGCCGACCCATTTATGCTACATCCATAAGATAGCTGCAGTGTGGCTCTAATACTGAATGCTTGAATGTTGGTGTCAGTTGAAGTGTATGATTGTACGTGTGCATGCGTGCCAGTTGAATGTGTTGTATGTGAGTGTGTTGGGGTGAAGTTGGTAGTGGCAGGAAGCGGTACCGGGTTGTAGTGGTAGGCGTTGCGGAAGAGCAGGCGGCAGTCTGCCACGAACTGCGCCACGTGCGAGTAGCGCGCCTCGCTGCGCGGCTGCAGCTTCATGCGCACCATGTCCAGGCACATCGGCCGCGAGATCTGCAACACGTGCCACCGCTCTCACCACACGCCACAACACCACACGACACTACACTCAACTAAGCTTTAACTACAATAAAATTATTTTTATTCAATATAAAAGAAATTACATATTTATTAATTGCTGCAACTTGCAAAAAATCAATTTTACAAACAAAAAAAACTAAATATTTAAAAAAAATGGATTGCAGCAACAAAATGGCCACCGACTCAGCATAATGCTACAACAACAGAGTTACAAAAGCGCTGATACTCTGTCGGAGCCATATAAGTCAATTTGCGTGAAATAGCTGAGCATAAAATACTTAGGGAAACTAAAAAGAAATTGGTAGAACTTATTGTGATGCATCCATCACTTCTGTTTGCTACAGTTGTGACCATTCTGAACAATTAGTTACCTGGATTCTTGAGACATATACTCCCGCTATATACAGGGTTATTTTTCAGAGACTAGCCAAATTTATTTAAATTCAAAATATAAATACTGTGTTCATTTCACGAACGCCCTTACCTCCCGCCGCGCTACCTCATACCGCGCCTTAAGCGTCGCCTTTATAGTACCGACAGCAACACAGAAGTGTATCTACGTCCGCTGTTTGGTACAGTTTTTGCTGTTGTTTTTTTACTCCTGATTTTTTGTTTCTGTTGACTTTTTTAGTACGTTAATTTGTAATAAACACAGAATGAAGTGATGGCAGTGATACAGAAACAAAGGATTTCGATAAAATAACTGGTATCAAAGTTATGGACGCGTAAATATCTACCTACCAGTTTTTGTTCGCGACTTCGTAAAATAATTCATGTAAAATGTATAATGATAAAACTATAATAAAAATATTTTATATTATCGGCTAAATTTCTATTCAGTATTATTATTTCACTTTAATACCTAAATAAATTATTTAATAATATGCATTTTAGATACTTGCTTGCCCTCCATTTCTCTGTACAAATAAAGAAACTAAAATTCGAACTTCTTACAATTAAAACACAGTAATAGTTTTGCCTACGGTACCGTCAGCTGTGACGTCATAACGGTCGACGACGGCAAACTCAAAATGAACGCGTACTACCAATATACACTTTTTGCAGTTTTTAAAAATACGCGTATATAAGGTTTTTAAATTTCTTTTGAAAATTATCCGAAATTAAATTTGATTCATGGGCAACAATGCTGTAGCGTACGCGCCCTCGTGTATGTACGAGTCAATGCACGGAGCTTTTGTCTACTATTTACTTCCTTAATGACCAGCTCGCTGCTAAGTTGATAACTACGCGACGTGAATTGTGATTCCAATTTTTCCTTTCATACTTTAAACGGGCCTAGGACTGTCATAATAAATAAAATGAAAATGCTATGCTAATAATGTTCTGCACTCCTCGAATTAAATAATTTTTCCACCAAAAATAATTCGAAATACAAGTTTAGACTACACAGCGAGGGAAAGAGGTGGAGAATAAATGTAAACAATTAGTTATTGTAGGCGCTACATATTTATGAATGAAAATCAGTTAAAATAATGTTTTTCCACAGATTTAGAATATAAAAGATAAAAAGGCAAAATGTTTGAGGTTTATCTTATAATTTTTTTCTCACCGTTCGCTTATATTACCTACTCTGCAACTCCTCTGCAAATTTGGCCGGTTATTGCAAAATAACCCTGTACATTACGACATACAAAGTTTAATGAAATTTTCTTAACAGAATCATAACGGGGATGAAAGATTCCTGGGTGAACTTCGATGTGTTATTTCAACAATAGGTACTGCTGACACAGTACAGCACATCACAGCACAGACCGGGCAGCAGGTACCTTGGAGTGGTAGTGCAGGTTGTGGTGCGGCACGGGCTCGCGGAAGGGCAGGCTGAGCTCGTACTGGCAGTACAGCTCCAGCGTGATGCGCTCCACCAGCCGCTGCTGGCGCGCGCTCAGCGCCCCCCCCACCAGCTCGTCCTCGCTCTCCGGGGGCAGCTCCGCGAAGTTCACGCACAGCAGGCACTGCCATGTCTCCGTCTCACTGTCAAGTCACATTTGTGCTGCATATACACATTCCCTAAAGCTTACTTACACAAAAATAAAAGTAGTTATACAAAAATAAGTGATATTCATTCTATAAATATTAGGAACAGACACAAGCTAGTAGTACCAGTTACTCGACTCCACTAGTCAGTAATTCATTCTTGGGGCAATATATACTCTTTTACAACAAAATCCCAGAAAATATACACAATTTGACCTGCTCAAAGTCCAAAAACTAAAGTTTGTATAAAAAGGGTTATTATAATATTAAGGAATTTATGGATGATAATAATCCCTGGGAATGAGGTGATTGCTACCAAGCTATTTATAATTTATTTTGTGTGGTTATTTGTGTAACATACATGATTATAAGCTGTTATTTAAAAAAAAGTCCCGCTGGGTTTTTTTGCTGGTTCTTCCCAGGACAGAGGTTTTTTTTCCACCCATTGGTAATTAAACAAAACTGTGACTTTCAATAAATATTATTTATAATCTATATTGAATAAAAAGTTTCTGTTTCTGACACTTCAATTCATAACTTCCCCGGCGTTCTTATGCTCGTATTTTGTAACACACCAAAATGATAACTCATTATTAATCATCCAAAAATATCTCATTCCTTTACAAAATCGTTTTATTTACTAAATTAGTGACGTCACGAGCTGAACAGCATGGCGGGTAGCGTTTTCGCTCGAAATTTTAAAACAATAAATTAGAAGTAATTTTTATGGCACTACTCGGTTAAAAAAAAAATATGAAAATTATAGTGGTTTGTTATCACGCTACGATTCATTTAGAACACTATTTGAAAATGGCTGTAATACCCTATTACATAATATCATTGCCAGTGCGTGTTGTCAGTGATGATTTCTGGATCTAAGACGTGGTCCTTCACTGCTGGCCGGATGAGGAAGCTCAAGGTCGCTCAGCGAGCTATGGATATCCGCCGTAGAACCAGAGTAATCGACATAGCCCAACGGATTAGTAAGCTGAAGTGGCAATGGGCCGCCCATATAGCTCATGGAACCCACAACCGATGGAGAAGAAAGGTTCTCAAGTGGCAGCCTCGTACCGGTAGGCGAAGTATAGGGCGATATAGACAATAGATGAAGTGACGACTTGTTAAGAAATGCAGGAAGTCGATGGATGCAGGTGGTTCAGGACCGTGCTTTGTAGCATTCCTTGGGGGAGGCCCATGTTCATTAGTGGACTTGTGAAGGGCTGTGAAGATGATGATGATGATATTATTATTAATAAATAAAAATAATTAATTGATAGAAAGTTTGTGGGACTGACTCGGGCAGCTTCTCGATGGTGGGTATGTGGCAGTACTGGTGGAAGACCTTGGGGCACTTGTCGCAGCACATGAGCTCGCCGCCGTCCATGCACACGGCGCACCAGTCCTCGTTGGGGTCGCCGCTGCCCGTGCCCGAACTCGGCAGCGCCTTGCCTGCATACCAGTTTAATATCATTCACATTGCACGCCTCATAACGCGAAGCGTTATTCGGTAGTGTTTTACTCTCAGCACGTCAAGGTCAAGCAAGTTTGTGTTTTAAAAATGCCTCTATTATAACCATATTGCACTTATACGATAATTTGAGTAGCCGTATATCAAGAAAACACTAAATAATCCATCTTCTATTTTACTTTATTATTTTATATTACTACTTGGAAAAAAAATCATGTGGACGTCTGGATGTTGATTTTGTATGTGGTCACGATAACTCTCGAAAAAATTGTCGTATCGAAACCGGGTTTTTTTTTTTAGTTTCATTACTTCAACTTGTTCCCTATTTCATATCAATAGCCTAGTACGCGAAGTTCGGTTTAAGTAATAAGTAATGAAAAATTTTTTGACACTATCTGTTAAAATAATAAAGCGCTAAATCTGAAACACGTAAATTGGTCGCAGCTCGGCCATGGTGGCCACCAGTAAGACGTACCCGGGTGCGCGGTGGCGGCGGTGTGTGTGTGTGCGTGCAGGTCCGCGTCGGTGGAGGAGTGCACGTGCTGCGCGGGCGACGGCGACTCGGCCACCACCTGCAGCCCGGCCACGGTGGCCACCAGTAAGACGTACCCGGGTGCGCGGTGGCGGCGGTGTGTGCGTGTGCGTGCAGGTCCGCGTCGGTGGAGGAGTGCACGTGCTGCGCGGGCGACGGCGACTCGGCCACCACCTGCAGCCCGGCCACGGTGGCCACCAGTAAGACATACCCGGGTGCGCGGTGGCGGCGGTGTGTGCGTGTGCGTGCAGGTCCGCGTCGGTGGAGGAGTGCACGTGCTGCGCGGGCGACGGCGACTCGGCCACCACCTGCAGCCCGGCCACGGTGGCCACCAGTAAGACATACCCGGGTGCGCGGTGGCGGCGGTGTGTGCGTGTGCGTGCAGGTCCGCGTCGGTGGAGGAGTGCACGTGCTGCGCGGGCGACGGCGACTCGGCCACCACCTGCAGCCCGGCCACGGTGGCCACCAGTAAGACATACCCGGGTGCGCGGTGGCGGCGGTGTGTGCGTGTGCGTGCAGGTCCGCGTCGGTGGAGGAGTGCACGTGCTGCGCGGGCGACGGCGACTCGGCCACCACCTGCAGCCCGGCCACGGTGGCCACCAGTAAGACATACCCGGGTGCGCGGTGGCGGCGGTGTGTGCGTGTGCGTGCAGGTCCGCGTCGGTGGAGGAGTGCACGTGCTGCGCGGGCGACGGCGACTCGGCCACCACCTGCAGCCCGGCCACGGTGGCCACCAGTAAGACGTACCCGGGTGCGCGGTGGCGGCGGTGTGTGCGTGTGCGTGCAGGTCCGCGTCGGTGGAGGAGTGCACGTGCTGCGCGGGCGACGGCGACTCGGCCACCACCTGCAGCCCGGCCACGGTGGCCACCAGTAAGACATACCCGGGTGCGCGGTGGCGGCGGTGTGTGCGTGTGCGTGCAGGTCCGCGTCGGTGGAGGAGTGCACGTGCTGCGCGGGCGACGGCGACTCGGCCACCACCTGCAGCCCGGCCACGGTGGCCACCAGTAAGACGTACCCGGGTGCGCGGTGGCGGCGGTGTGTGCGTGTGCGTGCAGGTCCGCGTCGGTGGAGGAGTGCACGTGCTGCGCGGGCGACGGCGACTCGGCCACCACCTGCAGCCCGGCCACGGTGGCCACCAGTAAGACATACCCGGGTGCGCGGTGGCGGCGGTGTGTGCGTGTGCGTGCAGGTCCGCGTCGGTGGAGGAGTGCACGTGCTGCGCGGGCGACGGCGACTCGGCCACCACCTGCAGCCCGGCCACGGTGGCCACCAGTAAGACATACCCGGGTGCGCGGTGGCGGCGGTGTGTGCGTGTGCGTGCAGGTCCGCGTCGGTGGAGGAGTGCACGTGCTGCGCGGGCGACGGCGACTCGGCCACCACCTGCAGCCCGGCCACGGTGGCCACCAGTAAGACGTACCCGGGTGCGCGGTGGCGGCGGTGTGTGCGTGTGCGTGCAGGTCCGCGTCGGTGGAGGAGTGCACGTGCTGCGCGGGCGACGGCGACTCGGCCACCACCTGCAGCCCGGCCACGGTGGCCACCAGTAAGACATACCCGGGTGCGCGGTGGCGGCGGTGTGTGCGTGTGCGTGCAGGTCCGCGTCGGTGGAGGAGTGCACGTGCTGCGCGGGCGACGGCGACTCGGCCACCACCTGCAGCCCGGCCACGGTGGCCACCAGTAAGACATACCCGGGTGCGCGGTGGCGGCGGTGTGTGCGTGTGCGTGCAGGTCCGCGTCGGTGGAGGAGTGCACGTGCTGCGCGGGCGACGGCGACTCGGCCACCACCTGCAGCCCGGCCACGGTGGCCACCAGTAAGACATACCCGGGTGCGCGGTGGCGGCGGTGTGTGCGTGTGCGTGCAGGTCCGCGTCGGTGGAGGAGTGCACGTGCTGCGCGGGCGACGGCGACTCGGCCACCACCTGCAGCCCGGCCACGGTGGCCACCAGTAAGACATACCCGGGTGCGCGGTGGCGGCGGTGTGTGCGTGTGCGTGCAGGTCCGCGTCGGTGGAGGAGTGCACGTGCTGCGCGGGCGACGGCGACTCGGCCACCACCTGCAGCCCGGCCACGGTGGCCACCAGTAAGACATACCCGGGTGCGCGGTGGCGGCGGTGTGTGCGTGTGCGTGCAGGTCCGCGTCGGTGGAGGAGTGCACGTGCTGCGCGGGCGACGGCGACTCGGCCACCACCTGCACGCCGTTCGAGTCCAGCTTGGCGATGGTGGCCATCAGGTCCTGCACCGACTCCGCGCACACCTTGTCCAGCTCTAGAGACACGCCGCCCTGCACACAAACACACACACATCTTAATAATATATACATAATTACAAAGAAAAAAATTCACAGTCATGACACCTATCTAAATCATGTTCGTTTTAGGCGTAGGAGAGGATTTATCGATTTTAATAAAACTGCAGTTGCCAACCTTTTTTTTTATAGGATAGGGTCACAAACGAGCATACAGTCCACCTGATGGTAAGTGGTTACTGTGACCATTAGACATCTACATCTATCCTCAATAAAGAATCAAAATGCAGATGCGTTGTCACCCGTGAGGGCTAAGATGGAATGCCTCTTTTCCAATAAAAAGGGGTTTCCAACAACTACACTACTGACATAGCTGCAGCATGGCTGTACCAAGTATAACCTGCCCGCCAAGCGTGGCAATTATGACAAATATCTCACATAGAATGCATTTTATGCGGGAGACTCATCAAGAGTAAGAAGCAGTGTGGTGGTCTTACGTTGAGGCTGGGGCTGGGCGTCTTGGGGTTGGTGGAGGTGACGACGGGCGGCGGCGGGCGCGGCGCGTGCTGGCGGCTCAGCGTGATCTTGAACTCCGCGCCGCCGCCCGCCCCGCCGCACGCCCCGCCGCCCGCCCCGCCACCCGCTCCCCCACCCTCCAACAAACCTGCACCACAATACAAACAAATATACATTTATTGAGTACACGCCGCACACATAATTCACACACTTAAATATAAATATTTGTAAACACGACAATTAATAATGGTATAATAAAATAAAATAAAAAGAAAAAACAACAACTCTTGACTTGTTCAGCAGTAGACTTTACTGTAACGGTAATACTAGCGATTCGGTGACCGACATAGCCTAACGGATTAGTAAGCTGAAGTGGCAATGGGCCGGCCATATATATAGCTTGAAGAACCAACAGCTGATAGGGAAGAAATAAGACAGCCTCGTACCGATATGTGATATGTGTGGCAGTCTCCCACTAAACAAAGTGGCGACATGGTGACATGCTGTAAGTCAATGGATGCAGGTGGTTCAGGACACAAATTTCTATGGAGGCCTATGTACAGCAGTGGACTTGTGAAGGACTGTAATGATAATTAGCGATCCGCCCCGGATTTGAACAGATGATTTCTAGATTTCGACAATAGCGCCACCTACCGGGTCGGTTTTTATATTACAGATTACCTGCAAGTTTTATAGTGATTGCCGCCTCTAATTCTTATGTCGCCGGCAAACAAATCTTAGTAGATAAATTTCGGTGCAACATGGCAGCGTTGCCAACACCAATTTGTCAAATTACCCGAAAATTCATGTCAAATTCCCCAATTTAACGACAAAAGTTCAACAGAATCCCCACAAATTCCCCTCCATTTTATTTTAAGAAATGAAACAATTTTCAACTAATTTTATAAGATTGACTATTTAACTAATATCTTTTTTCTTTAAAATTAAAAAAAAAAGAAATAAAAAAAGAAAAGCATTAAATGATACACAAAAGTTGCCGAAATAAATCCGAAAATTAAATGTGGTGCAATGAAGATAATTAAAAAAAAGGGAGTCATTCGATATTCATAAGTAACCTAACAAAATGTTAAGATAAGTATTTAGATTTCTTGGAAAAAGGTTTTGACTTGGCCCTGGCTATCAATTTTCAAAATCTCCGTATTTTTTCCGCATAATACCAATCCCCATAAAAATCTCCAACCGACTTTAAATTCTCCGCAATTTCGGGAATTCCCCACATGTTGGCAAAGCTGAAATGTGAAATTTCACAGCGGGAAACGACACGAGCCGACCGGGCGGCGGTAGCGCGTGTGTGAAAGGGAAGGGTAGAGTGAGTAGGCATTGTTTCGCACCGAGCTAGATAAGAGTTTGGCGTCCGCGAGAATATTGACCCTATTGTCAGCTGATTTTATTTTAAGTTTCACTTCTGGTTTTATGATTTTTTTTTAATGAAATTATCGTTTCATTTAGCTGTACTAACATAATGGAGCGTGAATAAAGCTAATAAAAAGTTGTGAAAAGATATTTTTTTTTTCTTGGGATCGATTTTCTTTCTGACCCATCATCAAAGGTATCGTTAGTACTATCGTTTGTATTCGTTTTCGGGAGCGTTTCACTAATACCCGGTATAATAAAAAAAAGTAATTTTTGGAACGATGTACTTCTTGTGAGATAGTAACGCGGCTGATGTCGAGTGGAGCGGAGCGGTCCTGATTCAGCGTCATCGACCTGCAGGAGGTTTCACTTTAAAAATGTGACGCAATACAAAAAAGTGTGGGGCGAAGCAAAAAATAGTGTAGGGTGTGTAGTTGGTATGGCGTTTCGGTGAGCATGTACGTACCGTTGGCGAGCTGGTGCTGCGGGATGTGCCACTTGGCTGCGTGCGGGGCAGCGAGCGGCGCGTGCGGCGCGGGCGGGGCGTGCGGCGGCGCGTGCGGCGGCGCGTAGTGCGGCGCGGGCGACGGCGTGCGCGGCCCCACGCTGCGGCGCCCGCTGCCCGCGCCGCCCGCCGCGCCGCCGCCCGCCGCGCCCGCCGCCCCGCCCGACGCGCCGCCATACCCGTACGCGCCCATCACTGCACACCACACTCACATCAAGTTCCTGCTATTTAAGCGATCGCTTTGAATATCATTTCTTTCTACTCTTTTCAATTGTTTTATTAGAACGGTCATATACAATCACCGACAGATATTAAGAAACTTAATGACCTATAGCATCTTTTTGTAGTATAAAAGTAGTGATTTCTTAAATTTATGCGAATACTACTATACATTGAACACAAATAATTTTACGGATTTTTCCGCGTTGAATTCTATTTATTTTTAATTTCCGACGTTTCGAGTGCTTGTTAACACTCAGGGTCACGGAGTGACTGAGGTGATTGAAGTCTCGATATCAAAATTAAA